AATCTTTGGAGACTGCTTTGAGTGACTGCAGAGAACAATAGATGTGAAAACCACCAGAAAGCTAATGATTCCTAAATCTAGTACCTTTTATGTTAGGCGTTCAAGAGAAATAGGACAACCCTATGAAACTGCAGAAAGCTTAGGGGAGCAGGCTGTGATTCCCCTACACTGATATCTGAATAAATAGTAAGCAAAGAATATTGTTCTACAAATATGACTTAGGAACTTATATTGAAATAAATTATCAGAGCCTCAGTTTTAAATCTTGTCAAGAAATATCACCTTTAATATTGACAAATGTAAATAATAGGCGTGATGTTCATAAATCAGATCAGTTATTTTCTGATAGAATATTTTTTAAGGAAATAGAGTAATTTCAAAGAAACATATGATTGCATTTTGTTATTTTAGAATTTCTTCTCAGACACACATTCCACGTAAGTCATGTCTCCCAGCACTCAGCAAAGCTGTACGATTTATGTGTACTTAGTAAGTGGAAAATCTGTGGAGAGCATTTCAGTTAGAAATACCACGGATGATGGAACATATACGAATTGAGTCTCAAGGGAATTTGATCAATTATTTGGGAATAATGTAGTGCTTTACAAGCAATAAAATAAAATAATTCACATCTGCAGCTCAACTTTGGCTTTTGAAAACTCATTTCTAGGAGGTGCTGAGTGTTGCACATGAATTGTCAAATACTCTGTGCTCTGAGGTATTAAAAAAATCTTAGCAACTGACATTTGTATACCCAACTACTGAATCTGAGTAGTAGAGAGATCTGCTTTCAACAGTCGGTCCATGTCGTGCTCAGTCCTCACAAAATTATCAGAATTATTATCTGCATTTATTAAAAATAAATGTTAGAACACAAAATAGTGACAGAATTACTGCACTCTGTTAATTGGTGAAAAATCATTTGTTCTGCTAATAACACTCAGCTCTAAACTTTCTTTTAATCTTCGTATCTGCCTTAGAAATCTCCGGAGGTAATTTATATCCTGGACAAATGACAAAGTGCTTCCTGGTGTCCATTTCTAACTTGTTGCTTTTTTGTGTGATGTATTCTGAAATCACGTAAAAATACTTTTCATCGCTTTTTCTGTGAGTTATTAATGTGTTGCTTCACATACTATCTCATATTGTATCTCCTCATCTTGTTTGAAAGGCAAAAGAAGAGCTAAAAAATTGTCAGAATCTTTTGTAAACTAACTCACACCAAGCTCCTGTTATTTTAGGAAGTTAGCGTGCTAGTCAGGCAAAAAGGGCTGTAGATTGGTTTTAGCTATCGTAACATTAAACTTGAAAGTAGAATTATGTCAACCCCAGTATCAAGCCCCCTCATCCTCAGTATTCTGAGTCCTATCTAATTTTTCTTTGCTAATTTTGCAGTCTGACCTTTACATGAGTAGACAGGTGGGAAAATACGGGTATGCTGTCAGCTGCCTAATGACTTCCTAATCTGCATGGGCTGTTTTATGTCGGCTGTGCCACCAGAAATCCCTTTTATGCTGAACTGATCTGCATTTAAACAAGTCTTAGTGAGTCTACCTGATGGGTGTAGCACTGTATAAAACTATATGTTTTTGGTTATTGGGTAGTGTTCATGTCTGCAGAATTTTTAGCCGAAAATATGTAATTTCCAAGTTTCTTTTGTAAACTGACATCAGATGCTGTGCAGATGAAGAAACCCTGTTTAATTAATCCCTGAATTATGGATCAGGTTCTAAGGGACATCTGTGCACACATGTCTGTAATGTGTTCTAAGAAACAATTTAAATTAGATTTTTTTAGGTAGTGGTTTCATTTGGACCTTGAAGGACTTATCTTCCATGAATATTAACTGTTTCCTTGCAGAACATATGGCTTCCACAATGTCCTGTGCCTGTCAGTGCCACAATTTCATCAGATGGAAAAAGACTTCTGTTTCTGGTGGGGTTTAAAAATGTTACTTGATTGTTTTATCAGGTAATCATTAAATCCTGGGTTACAAGAAGAAGTGAATTCTGTAAGCACTTTGACCACAACATTTAAGATTCTGTCATCTCTCTCCTTACTGGTGTCTCTCTAGCTAAATTTATTTAGTGGCTCTGTGTATAAAAGTTGTTCCCTGTTGCTGAAGATAATCATCACTTTTCTTTATAGCTTTTCTGGGCTTTTTTTTTTTTTTTCTTTTTGTTTCCTCCCGCAATGAGCTGACCAGAACTGCAGCCGGTGTCAAAGTTGAGAATGGTGTTTTCTGGTTTGGTTTTGGCTGCTTTCATTGTAATTCCTAACGTTCCATTTGCCTTTTGAACTGCTGCTGAGTTTAAAAATGACATTTTTAGAGGACCATGTACAATGAGTCTAAGCTATTTTTCCAGAGATAATTTAGACCATCATTATGTGTATGCAAAATTAGAGTTGTTTTTCTCTGTGGATATTACTTGCATCAGCATTTAATTTCATCTGCCATTTTATTGTCCAGTCATTCAGCATCATGCAAGCCTCCTGTTCATTGTCAGAGCTACATTTGCATGCTGGGTAATTTCATATCGCTGGCAAACATAACCATGAAGTTTTGCTCTTTTTTTAGACTTTGGCTTTTGTGCAGATATAAGTGTTTTGTCTAATCCTACACAAAAGCAGGATACAATATGTGCAAATGAGTAAATAAATGAAATGAGGAGGAAATGGTTAGGGATTCTTTTTATTTTCTACTGAAACATGTCAACGTCTTTTTATTGTCTCTTTACCCTGTTGAAACTAAGTGCTTTCAAATTGTGGTTTTAAGGCTGTGTTTTACAAGGTGTTTGAGAGGCTGATTATGGAGATATTCGCAGAATTTAGGTCTGAGGTGTAGTGGTGTAAGACATGCTTTAAATAAAATAAGAATGTTAATAAAATAATAATGTTACTGAAGTTGGTCCAGAAGAATGCCCCTTTATATTTTTCCCCCTTTGTTTTTGTAAAGGTAAGAGCTGAAGAGGGTAAAAAACAGTCTGGAAATTTTACCTCTCTCTCGATTTTGGAATATTACTAGTATTTGTTTGAATACAGTCATTATTAAGTGAGACTATGTGGACTGCTTTTGGTAATTAGATTCTAATGATCCTTTGTGGGTTTTATAATATATGCATATAGCAGTGCAGCACAATGAGTAAGAACTTGTGGGCCTCCCCGCTTAGACAGCGATGTAAATCTTCCAAGAAACTTGATCCTATGAGTCCTTCAGTGTTTCAAATAATCTCAAATTTCAGCATTTCAAATAAACATTCTAACAAGACCATTCCAACTTTAACGAGCTGACAGTATGCTAATTTTATTTAACTAATAACTGCTTTCTGATTTTAAACTCAATTTCTTTTCCTGTTTCAAAAGAAAGAAATTCAATGCTAAGATTATTTTTATTCGATCATAGATTCAGCTGCTTTGCCATAGAAAGATGGCTTGTTGAGTTCTGCAAATGAATACTGATTCTTAGCAGTCCGTGAACCAAAGTCCATGGAAGTCAATGAAAAGAATACCTCTTGATTTTAGTGAGCTCTGCTTCAAGTTTATGATGGGAAATGTGGACGTTGCTGGTGAAAATGAGAGTTTTTAATTATTGAACTATACTAACGTACAGAAGTTAAATTTCACTCTATTATTTTTTCACATTTTTGGAAGCCCATAAAGTTACCAAGTAATGTAGAACTAGCAGCATGTATACTAGGAGTGTATAACTTTTTTATTACTCTTCCAAAAAAAGCCCCTAAACCAGCAAAACATTGCCTGAAGGCCTTGCTCAAAAGCTTAATAAATCTGATAAAAATTGTACTTTGTACACTTTGGAAAGTGAACATCAGACATTAGATCAGAGGCTGAGTGATTAGCAGAGGAAGGGCACAGACTAACTGACAAGGTGAGATAACCCTGTGGGTTCAAATTAGACACCAGTGGCTTAGCATCTAGAACGTATTCTGCTATGCTAAAAGTGAAAATCAGATTATGTAGTAATGTTCTGCAAAATTTCTGTCAGTCTGTGCACTCTAGTGCACAGCATTTGAAAGGATGATGTTTCATTGCACTACGCAGCGAGTAAAAGTCATCTGAATATGAAAAACCTTTCTAAGATTTTGTATCCTCTCAAACCTTTCCTTTTTTGATAGACATCTGTTGCGTGTGGGCATAGCATTCTGGGCCCAGTACATCAAAGCTCTTTCACAGGGATTAAGCAGGTATTCAAGTGCTTTGCTGGACTCAGACTAAAGCATCTCATAAAATAAAATATCTTTTTAATCTTGGAGTGAACGGAAGAGTTTCTTCATTGAAGAATACAGATCCAGTATTCTTGATGGCATAGGAATAGGGATCCCACACATAGGATTTGCATAAACCTATTACCTATATAGAACAGTGAAATGTATATTGTGTGAAGGTATGCTTCGGCCAAAGGGCTGGTGTACTGCAGGTATAGAATATGAAATTTAAGATGAACATGAGTTTATTTCATGTCTATGAAAATATGAATGGGAAGTAAGGCTGCTATGAAGCATAGAAGTACAGAGAGGTCTGTGACCTAAAAAGACGCTGAATGGCAGCAGTTTGAAGTCACTGTTGCTCTTTTTCCCAGTTAGCTAAAGTACCCAACATGTAGTATTTATGTGTTTTTTTTACTGTAACCTATACTTGCAGAGAGTATAGGTGCAGTGTAATTTAACCTGGGCTTTGTATATGATGTACTGTGTGCTGGTATGTATTTAATTTTCAAATGAAACTATGTAGTTGCTCTTTATTTTTATTTTATCATTTACCTACAGAAAAATTTTAGCAAGGCAAAATTTTACACTATAACGTCAAAGGAGAGGAAAAAAATCAAACAAAAATTCCAAATAAACAAAAAAACAGAGGGCAGAATGCTGTTTACCATTTATCAGATTAATGCAAACAAAACTTCTCATTTTCAGCTCATTTGGATCTTTTGTTTAGAATTCAATCTAAATCTACACTACAACAAAATAAAAATGCATTTTTCTTCAAGACTGGTTTGTTTCCTCTGGTGAAGGTAGTTTGTCAAGGGCTCCCACCTCTGCAAAAAGGAAAAAATAAGAGAATTAACATATATGTAAGTATGCATATTAATCTTAGCAATTAAATAATGAAATCCATTTTCAGTAGTAAACATTTTTATGTTTTTCTTCTCTCAACTGTAAGAGGCAAATCCTTGAACTTTTCATATTCTGATTTATAAACTATTGGGGTTTTTCTTCTGAATTTTAATAATATCTTCCTGATATAATTCCACCTTTTTGGAAAGAGCAGTGACAGAATGACAATGAAATGATATCAGTTTTATTATGTCAGTTGTTATTGCTGGATCCCAGAATCTCAGAAGTTTTAATATTATCCAATTATGGCTGCCATCCTACAGCCTGCTCTATATAGGAAGCCTTTAAAGCTGGAGGGAGCAATTTTCAAGAGAAAGAGCTGAAGGCCACTTTTCGTTATCACCAAGATACTTCTTAGCAGTTGAAATATTCCCTTTATCATGTAGATTGAAGTGTATGCCTAATCTGAATAACCATTCCCTGAATCTGAATGCCATGAGGGGGAGTTTTCCCCCTCCCCCCAAAGGAACATATCTAAACCAATATATTTAATGTAATAAGTTTCATGTTAAAGCATCTCTACCATAACAAAGTATGTTTTTCACCTCAAAAATCTACAGTTTTGTTTTTGTGTAAGAGTTTGTACTAGGTCTTGCCAACATATATTGTTAAATGGATAATATGATAACATCCTTGTGTCTTTTGAAATCTGGGAATACAAGGAGGAAAAGCCATTCTATATGATCTGGAGATTCCTTTTTTTATGAGGACAGATAATAATGCCTTCTCTTCTGAATAAAAACACCTGTTTGTCATCATTATCCTAAGCAAGGAATTGTTACTTAGAGTTACACTACAGCCTTTTTTGCCCATTTGTCCCAGGGAAGAAATAATTTGTATTTCTATGAGATAGTTATTTTCTTGCCCAATTTAGCAGCTCTTAGCCTGCTCATCCGAGATTGCATGCTCGAGCTCCACGTTTCACACCTTTTCTGTTGTGTCCAGTTACTGGTTTTACTTCCTAGGCTCACACAGCAAGGTAAAGGAGGCTTCAGGGCTCCTCCTCCTTCACAGTGGCACAACAAACAAGCTGCTACTTCATCCACAGTAAATACACATGCTAATAATCTACTTTAAATAAGTATTTGGATTATCTCAGGCCCTTAGTACTAATCATCAAGAGTTTTTGTTTCAAATGCAAAGCTATAACCACCAGGTTGATATTTTCAGTCGTGAGAATTTTTTCTCTTGGGTGGACTCAGGCCCTTAGTACTAATCATCAAGAGTTTTTTGTTTCAAATGCAAAGCTATAACCACCGGGTTGATATTTTCAGTTGTGAGAATTTTTTCTCTTGGGTGGGTGCAAATCATTTAGAAAATGATGCCAAAGAGGTCTGGAATTTTGTTTCCTAGATACACAGAAAATTAATGGACCTCTTGAAAGTCTCATTTATTAATAAAAATAAAATACATGTGTAACACACAGTTCTTTGTTACTATTCCACAGCATACACGTGGCCACAAAATTGCTTATAATTTGTTGTACACAAAGATAAGAATATAAAAGTTATATTCTTTGAGACAGATAATTCCTTAAACATTTGCAGTAAAAATAGCTTTTTTCCTTCCTGTTGTTTTCTTTGCCAGTATGTATTCTGTTTTTGTACATTTTGTAGATTGTTTTAGGTGGGCTGAATAGGTTTTTAAAAGCTCAGAATTCTGTGGGTTTTCTTAAAAAAGCAAAACTAATGAAAACTCTCAAACAGCCAGAATGCTATAATAAAGATCCCATTCTTAGAGAATCAGCTGTAAGCTCAGTTTTACAATTCTGGTCACAATTTTGAGACTCCACAGAGGTTTTACTAGCAGTGTTTTGAGCTGTTTGCCAACATTCAGCCTAGTGTTGTTGCGATTTGATGATGTGACTCTATTGTAGAATACAGAAAGGGAGATGTATTTCTTTTGTCACTAACAAGTGTTTCAGAAGTTCAACCCACTGTTCTTGGCATTAAACTGAGGTCTTGTTTAATTTGTTACTGAATTGTTTTATACTAACTCCCATGTAATCAGACTGTATTTAGCTTGTTTTCAACTCTTCTAGAAGGTGTGTCCATACAATTTTAGCAGCAGCAGTTATTATTTTCACAGTGCCCAGTGTAATCAAATGGTATTAGAACCCTACCATGTTGGATATTCATTGACCTGCAGTTCGGCAGGACTACCTGTACTCTCTAAATCAGGCCTATTCCTAAGTGCACTAAAATGGAATTGACAGCCGTCGTCCGTCCCCCCCATTGTCATCCCCCATCCCGAGATGCTGTTCAAAGTCCTTCACGCTCAAATCTCTCGTGGACTTGTACATTCAAGGACATTCCTGTCTTCTCAGTGAATTTCACACCAGAAAGTGTGAGAGATTAAAAATGTATTCACTAACCTTTAAGATGCAAGTAAGTCAAAAATTCAATTACTGTGCGCACAATGTTTTCATCGGCCAGTGGTCCTCCAAGATCCCCTATAAAACAAGTTGGTTGTTACTTAGTGTTAACATGGTATAAAGTTCTATTGTACGTGACATTGTGGCTAGGTTTAAGCGTACTCTGAAAAAAAGCTATCCAGAATTTTTTTTTTCCTTAAAAACCTTAATGGAAAACCTCATTTCATGGAAGAGCAAAGCCACTTTAAGGTAGATAAATGCAATTCTCAGAATCAAAATTGCCCAGCTTTGTATGCTATTGCTGCATAGGAACTGCTTTGACACCTTAATGGTCGTGGTCTCTAAGGCCTTAGGAGTTCTGTTGCAGAAGAGAGTTCTCCTCTGTTCTCCACTCTCTCTTCCTTTGTGTCCACTAGCCTGAGATTGAAGGGAAAGGTAAATATAGCAAACAAATTCACCAGCTTTGCAAAACAGTTAAAAGTGTGTCACGTAGTCTGACGTTGTTCCCAATAAGCCACTCAAATGATATAGGAGTGATTTGTAGCCCAAAATCTAGGCCTGGGGCTTAACTAAAAGCTCAGGAGGGTATGGGGTTGCCTATGTATCTAATGCAATGTACTCATCTTTGGTCTCGTGGAAGTAGGTTTTTTGATGCTTTTTAAATAGCCCAATCTATTGAGCTCCCTAGGAGCTTGTTACTGCATTTTGGGAGGTTAAGAAGTATGCTTTGTGTGTCTGTTTAAAAAAAAAAAAAAAAAAAAGTCTTGCTTTTTATCAAGAGGAGGGAGAACTGTTCTATACTAGAGAACAAATGGTAGGTAATTTCCCTAAGATTTTTAGTTCTCTGCATACAGAACAGATGGGCACCAGTATCTGACTGACAGGCCGTTATTACATCACTGAAAATATTGTCCCTTGATGTTATCATAGGGGATGTGCTTAATCTCAGAAAATAGTCTGAAGGACTGACTTTGCAGCAGGTGTATGTTGGGGGAGTTTTTCCATGATGGAAGAGAAGACTTAGGCTGCTGGTGACATACAGGTCAGAAGGCAGACTGAGCTCTGTAGCAAAAATAAAGAATATTGATGGGGAGTTGCAAGGGACACAAAGATTTCTGATAGAGACTCAGCATTTAAGAAATTTGCATCAAAAAGTCTTCTCTTCCAGTCTTTGAATTGGCACAAAGATGTTGTTATTAATTACATTAGTAATACTTGTATTATTTGAAGTTTTCCTTAATTTAATTTTTATTCCCACCTAACCTGTTATGATTAACCATTACTATACTGGTAGTTTGTTGACCTAGATTTTATTACCAATGTGATATTTATTGGATAAATATTTTTCTTTAGTGACTTGAGCATACTGTACATGTGTATTTCTATATACTTTGCTATTGACCTTAATTCTGTATAGCCAATTACTTGCTAGACTCTAGTAAGGAAACAGTTATGCTCTTGGAATTCAAAGATTTTCCTAATTATGCCTTCAGATTATTGCCCCCCACCCCGGGCCTGATGCGTGTGACTAATACAGCTTATAAGTTCTTCTAGGTTATCTGGAAAGCTTGTGAGTTTTGCAGCTTTTTTCAAGGAGAGAGAGGAGTCCTTTGCATGAATTCTTTTACAGTAATAATGTAATGCCATTTTAAGATACTTTTTTAAATAATCAGCAGAATTTAACTAAAAAAAAATCCCTTTGTTTTCAATTAAAATAAAAATTCTGACTACCTTATCCATTTTTTATATTCAAATCTCCTTTGGATAGGAACTCTATAATAAACTCCAGCTTCAAAGAAAACTTTTGATGAGAGAAGAGCATCTAAAATGAGATTCATAACAGAGGCAGTTATATAATTTTCAGGTCCCATCCAGGCAAGTTTGGTTGAGTTTACTTGTAATTGTGGGGGTGCAGCAGTACCTGGCAAGAGAGTTCCATAACTTTTAATTAAAGATCATATTCCTGTAAAGGAACTGGTAGTATATCCACAGAGAGCAACACATTGCAATGCGAGCTGCGTTGTTAAATTACAAATGCCTTCCTTTCACATTGTTTCTGACTGGCAAAATATTATTTTTACACCAGTGTTTGAGGAAGTAGTTTCTTCCCTCCCCTCCCCCCTTTTTTTTCTTAAAAACAAACTACCAAGCCAACAAAAAAAAAAAAAAACCAAACCCACAAACCAAAAAACCACCATGCACACAAAACCACACTATGTAACTATGTACCAGTACTAAGCTGGCAGTCATTCTGAGACTGTAGCAATGAAAAGTATTAATGTTACACTTCTCCTTGCAAAGTAATTATGTGCATGAGATTGTAATTAAGCACATTTCCTTTATTAACTATTAGCTACATTTGCATTGTGCTAGGTGGACTTAAAACAGCCTGCGAGAGGGCTGGGGCTGTGTCTTCCCCCGTTAGCGCAGCGAGGAATGCAGTAGTACTCAAGTAGGTACTGCTTGCTTTGGTGGCAGCAAGGAGCAGGTCACTCACTCACAGTCCAAAGATGGGATTCATCCCAGCTCACTTTAGATGTCTGCAGCAGATTTAGTTTCTCCTCAGGAGAAAGCAACAGGTTTTTCTAGAAGTTTCTGCATCTTATCCTGAAGGAGGTATTCAAAATAAATCCGAAAATTGCCAGCTTTTGTTCATAAAGGGAGTCTAGACATACGTTGTAGAGGCTCAACTTTGGATGATGAATCCAGAACAAGGCTGCATCCTTTTCATTGCCATTTACTAAATTCTGATACATGTCAACAACTGACTTGACTTCATTTTTGACCAGGTTCTCAGTCTTTTAATGAAGACAATCTATCTTACTTAAATATGGGAAATATTGTGAGACTTAATATAGATTTTTTTTTTAAAAAAAAAAAACCAAAACAAAACAGTGAAGACTCTTAAAACATAAAGAGTGCCATACA